ACAACTTAATTCTAAAATTATCCCCAAGTGTGATTTGAACGCCTAAATATACACTAGTAAACTTAAACCATTTTTATCGAATAATAATCGATTAAACTTGAATATTAAGGTTCCTAGTAATTCTTATATTATTTAGCAATTGAATTAGTTATTAGAATTTCCAATTATTATATCTCAAGAATTAGAGTTAATTTAACTCGAAATCTATCGTTTTAATAATATAAAGTCAAGTGAAACAATAATTTAATCCAAGGGTGTCAGTTTGCACATAAAAATTATTTTTACGCACTTATTGTGAAAACAAAGAAGGATAAGACTATAATTATCGAAATTTTCACGCCTTAAGTATGTTTAGTATATTAGTATCATATTTATCTAAAATTCATTGGTTTTCATCTTAACGCGGAAATTCCTATTAACATTTAACATTATTAACGATTAAAACTAGTTATCGGAAATCAAAGAATTTATTTTAAAGTAATAGAATTAATCTAACTCAAGAAATATTAATTTAATATAGCAAAACCGAATAATTCAATATTGGGCACAAATATATTATTTATTACATAGAAATTATCTTTACACTTTTATTTCAAAACAATTAATTACAACACTAGAATTCAAAGTAATTAATAATTAGATCAATGAAATAGTTTACCATCGAAATATGAAGTTAATGTAACAAAACTAAGAAGTTTAGTAGTTTAGCACAATTTTTTTATTTTGCACATAACGTTTAATTCTACATACTTATTTAAAAACAATTGGACTTAGCGCTAAAATTTATTAAAGAATTAAAATGCAAATAAAATATGCACTGATATTTATATGTCTATTTTCAGGGTTCTCACAGATACACTAAGGAAGAAGTTTTTTTTTTTTAATCTTTAGTGATTTTGTGACAACCCCACCTTCCCCTAAGGCGAACCAAAGAGGTTAGCGGACTGCCTGCCCAGCTCTCGCCAGGACTAACGGTGCAGATTAGAGCGATCTATTTTGTTTCGGAACTTATAATGCGCGTAAACAAGGCAAAAGGGCAAAATAACCCAAAATAAAAAAAATGAAATTTGGAGTCGGCGATGAATAGTAACCGACCCGTCAGAACCCAACCAACTATCAAGTAAACATTCACATATGGAATTTGAGCAATTACAACCCAAAGTAGCATACAAAAGTTTTCAAAAGTGAATATATACACGGCTCGCCAAATTGAAAGTGAAATCGGCCCTAAAGATACATTTAGGGTTTCCCTTCATATACAATACAAAAGAAATATACATCTAGTTCATTCGGCAACCATCTATCAAGATTCATTCCAAAAAGAGTCATATTCTTGTAAGGAAAACAAAAGAACGGTGTGAGCTAATTGCCCAGTGAGATACTATCACTTACACACCCAAGTGCATATAAGCATCAAGCTTTCATACAATTCAGTAAAAATAAGCAAAGGCACACTTCAAATATGGTGATAAAAGGATACAGATGGCTCTCAAGAGCCCTTTCCTCGTTTGCATTTCTTGATCGGACGTCATTGACTCTCCGTCAATGTTCAAAAGTAACCAACCGTAGACTCCACTTCTCTCCCAATCCTTCCACCTAACATCCCCCTACCGCGCCCGTACTCCAAACACTTGCATTGTGGTATTACTCGAGTATACCGGAATCGAGAGTCTCTCATACTACAAGATTCCTTATAACTTTACCCAAGGCTCATTAATTGTCACGACCAAACCCTTGCCGGCTCGATTCAATCAACTACCAATGTGGTTGAGTTCAATGATAACATTTGTAGTCGTTGGATACTCGTCCGATCGACACCAAGTCATGTATTTCATTTCATATAACATTTCATATAACATTCCAATAACTTTTCAATAACATGCGAAACAATAAGTGAGAGTGATAAAGTACACTCTCACTTCAATCAATTAACATTCAACATCTCAAGTTCAAATATCAAAGCCATATAATAGCACACAAGTGAGTAGTACACTCACCAGGGTCAGTGCAGATACCTCCCAAAAGAGAGCTTTAATCACCAATAAACCCTAAAATAATCCAAGGAAAACAATTGAAGGTTCCACTTTCAAAATTGAGTATACAGAATGCACATGTGAGGCTCGACTACCAGTCGTATGCCTCGCCAAATAATTACTAAAGCAATGTGCAAAACATGATTTTTGGTAACGAAAAGGTAACATGAAGACCTAGGCTCAAACAACCCAAAAGCCCTTCGTTCAAATCACAAGTAAATCCAACTAGCCCTCAAGAAAAATTTCGGCAACATATCCCTTGTTTTTACCTATTTTCCAGCCATCATGGCTTCATTATATCCTCAAATCAGTCCCAACATCTCGTACAAAAGAATCTCATTCCCAAAAGCCGTTCACTAGGCTTAATGGCATTCAAGTACACAATTTAACTAAGAAATGTCCGGATATGAAAGTCAAGCCCTAAACTATTCAAATAACCACAATAATACTCGATTACAAGTCATAAACCAATTCTATCTACTACCAAAACAGGGTTCCCTAAGCATATACAAACATTAGAGGAAACCAGAAAATTCGGAAATGCAATTAACTTTGCCCCTGAAAAAACAGTTTTTGTCCTCATTTTGCGGTAATGGCACCAATTCCACTACGATTATCGGATAAGGGTGCAAGACCCACCATCTCGAAGCTAAAAGACAGGGATACAACATCACAGAAGGTCACTCAACCCAGTTTTGAGTGCAAACAGGTCAAAAATGCAAGATACTACATCAAAAACGTAAAACAGATTCACCAAAACGCATTCTAGCGGAAACATCATAACGCAGGCTCTACAAGTCCAAATCCAGAAATTCCAAAACCAGCTGAAAGCTAAGAAACAGGGCTAAATTTCATCAGAAGGCCTCAACAACTAATTCGGAAGCAATTCCAGCCAAAACAACCAATTACAGGAGCAATTCTCCAATTCGGGTAAAACCAGAACAGCAATAGTAATTTCAACTTATCTCATTCTACACTACTCCGATTGACCTGAAATTTTGTAGGCACCTATAAAATGTCATTCCCTACAACTTTTATGTTTTAAGCCAAGGCCAATTCAGCCTCTATCTAGGACCTAAAATTTCGGACAGAATGCTCCCTCAAGAACCCTAGTTTTCTGAAATTTCTTCCAAACCAGAAATTGGTTGCAATTAATCACTTTTCCCACCTCCTTAAGTCATTATAGACCATTTCCAACCATCATAGATAGCCACACAATCATACTTATATTAAAACAGAAAAATCCCCAAAAATAATAAAACTTGATCATTTCAACCACAAATCAAGAATTAATCCATAAACTTGCATCTTCTACTACCACTAAGCATGATTTAAGCATCAATTAAAGGAGGAGGGTGGTTCTTCACAACTTACCTTAAAACAAGAGAGAGAGAGAGCTATTGGTCACCTTAGCTTTCCAAATAATTCCACACAACAACTCACCAACTCTTCCTTAAGTGGTTTTATGGAGCAAAATCAAGGTTGGATGGTTGAGTAAGTTGATTGAAGCAAGATGGAAGCCAAAATCTTGAAGAGTTTTCTTTCTTTCCTTGCTTAAGAGATTCGGCCAAGAGGAATAGAAGAATGAGGGATTTTTGGTGAATTTTTAAGATATTTAAGTCAATTGGTAAGACATGCAATAGTAGTCAAATGGTCCAACCAATAGCCAAGTGACACTTGTCACCTTTTATTAAATACCTACCTAACTTGTCTCTCTCATATCAATCCAAATTGCAACCTCTACTTATCTCTTAACACCCGATAAATTAACTCCAGTATCTAAAACTTAACCTAGTTGGTCGAATTTTTCCGAACTTTTCGTACTAGTGGGTTCCACGTCCGGTATACGCTCTTAATTTCTCAAAATCCATTCGATACTAAAAAAGCATCTAAAAATTATATCTGCTCCTTAAAATTATCTAGAAATTTTTCTAATAACGAAAATGCAAAAAAACAAGCCATAAAAATACGAGAAATCTAGAAAATGAAAATTACGGGTTCTCACAGATTTGAGTGAAGCTTAATTGAAATTTTCACTTTACTTTTTCATTTATCCTTATTTGTGCACTCTTAACTTGTCGATGACTTAGATGGTAATAGCTTACTAATATATGATACTACACAAAAAGTGCTGCTAAAGTGTATCTAAAAAGGAGAGAGGATTTTCAGAATTTGTCAAACTTTGACTTATGAATATCTGAAAAATGAAAAGTTACACAACGAAGCCTTTAATTCTACCAAATCTTGTGCTCTGATTGTTATCTTCACAAAAAGTGTATAGCTGTTTAATCAACTACCAAAAAAAAAAAAGAAAAAGAAAAGTGATGGACCTTGTCTCCGTTTCTAAGAAACAAAAAACAGATAAATCCAAAGATTGAAGTTTGGAGCTTCAATCCAAGTTTATAACAAAGTCCAAATTCCACCTTCATACATCAACAGATAAACCAGATGCAAAGTAGATGAAGATCAAAGGCAATAGTTAAGTAGAACAATTTCTAAGATACAAAGTCTCAAACTGTATGCTGGCCGGTTATCATGAAGCACCTAACTTAGTAGGAAAGAAGAGTCAGCCAAAGCTGCCAAAGGATCACTTGTACTGTTTCTTCTAAATCAGCAATATGGCCCTTGTCTCAAGTATCTTGTAAACTTTGTGCTAGTGGTTATGCTTGTTCAGTTCATTTCTTCCTGCTTAACAGGCATGCACTGCTGCCTACTTTCTGCTCATTAAATAGTTTTGTCTCAAGAAGGTCTTCATTCATTTTGTAATTGTTGTCTATTTTCTAGATTGCGGATGTATGGTCCTGTGGTGTGACATTGTACGTGATGTTGGTGGGAGCTTATCATATTGACTTAATTGGATTTTTGTTCAGTATGACTATTCATTCAAATTCAATAGTGTATGCTTGTAATGGCATTTTTTTGACTGAAATCGATTCTAATGCATATGATACTTTTCTTTCAATGCAGTACAATGCTATTAAATGCTCTTGAGGAGATGAAAAAGGTTGGCTTTTGGATATGCTCATGAAGATGACTTCAGTTTGACACAAATTGCTGCTTTAGTCTATGTTTTTGTTTGGAAAGAGTACTTTGTTTTTTTGGATGCGTAATGGCTGTTACTAGTTGAACTGATGTGAATTTAGTACTCTATTGTTTGGATGGATAATGGCTGTTAGTACTTGAACTAATGTGGCCTTTGGAACTCATTTTGGTTAATGTGTGTTTTGATGAATTTAGAGATATTTATAACCATATATATATATATATATATATATATATTTGAGGGTTCATTGTACATTAATTACTATCATTTTTTACATTAGTCGAGCCACAATTTTCTGCTATGGTTGTTGAAAATGCAATAGAATTGCAGCTCTTGTACACAAAGTTGTAAGTTCACTAAGTGACGACTATTCTTGTCACAGAATACTAGGAGTGAGAGTGACAAGTTCAAGTCGTCACTGTGCACGTTCAAATTTGTGACGACTTCTGCTATTTTTTATGACAAAAAAATTTTGGAAACACTGACAAGAAACTTCATCACAGAATACTATTTTTTAGTGACGACTTAGTTTTCGTCATTAAATAATAATATTTAGTGACGACTTTGTAGAGGTTGTCATACGTACCCATTTGTGACATAGAATTAGTGACAACAATGTGACAATGGAAAAAGTCGTCACTATATTCATATAATGACGACTTTCTAATTTTTAGTAATGACTTCCTATTGTCACAAAAGATCAAATTTCTTGTAGTGATTATAGCAGATGGCTATAGTAAATATTCTTTTGGGTTGTATTAAGCTTGAGAGCTGATTAATTGTAAGTGTGAGATATTTTGGAGTATTTTAATTATGTATTGAAATTATTTAAAGTGTTCCGAACTTTTGAATTGTGGATTGTAGTGAGTCCTGGCGAGAGTTGGATAGGCGTCCCGCGGATACCCTTTGGTTCGCCGTAGGGAGGAGTGGGGGCGTCACAGTTGGTATCAGAGCTTAAGTTTCAGATATTTGTAGTGTATCTTAGGCTTAAAAGTTTAGGATGCCGGACTCTGGGACTTGTTTGAAAGTTAAGTGACCACTTGTAGGGATGAAAATCAAAGTCGCTTCGCGTACTCTGTGCGCGGGGTGGGTTTGGACCAAGTTGTGTTATGGTCCTTCCTATGTGATTGAATAAAGGGTTAAGTGCTCTTCTAGAAATGTATGCTGTGAATCATGAATGTGATAGGTTGTAAAACCTTTATCTTGATCCTTGGAGGAAATTTGATATGTATGTTGGGTAGGAATCTCGAATGTGGTGATTTACTCTTGGAACCGGCTGGCTCGAGTTGTGAATTACCTTATTTCGGATTCTTGTACCCGGGTACTCGAGAGTAGAGGGAAATCCTAAGGACTTGAGATCTCCCACTTGAGATCTCCATTTGTGGGGAATAAGAATGAATTGATATTTCACGTGAATAGTTACAGAAAACCAATAATTGTTTGGCTATGATGGCACGATAATTAAGAGCGGGAGGTGGAAATGATCGTAGCCCAGAAGATCCTTATGTTAGGATTGAAGTTGAACGTGTTAGGGAAACGGGAATCATCCAGTTCCAATTAATCTAGTGAAACACTACTTGTGATTTTTTGTAGTGGGACTATGAGAGTAGAACTTAAGAGTTTTGTGCCCTGGAGATGAATGTACTTTTGATAATCACTTGTTTACTTTCGTTTATTGACTTTGATTTGGTATAAGTTTTACTTGACTAAAACTTGTGCTATGATTTAATGAGTTTTAGTTTGTATTTACTTGCATAGTGATAATATTATTTGTGTAAATGATTTCCTTTTCTTTAAAAGTTTTTACTGGTATGTGTGCATAGTTCAATTATAGTTTGGTGTGAGATTTATACATATGCGTATAGATTAGTTATGAACATGGAAACTAGAGAACAACGAAAGGGACGTCAACCTAGACAACCCCAAAATCAAAGAGTAGATAATGGATCTGATATTGATCAAAATGCTGAGCCAAATACTGGGAGAGGAAATGACCAAATGGGAGTAGTTTTGACTCGCATGACGGATATACTAGAGCTCTTAGTATCTCAACAAGGTCAAGGGGTTGGACAAGGAAACCAACGTGGAAACCAAAAGATAGGGGAGGATCGAGCCTTAGAGCGGTTTCAGAAATTCCTTGCGCCCAAATTTTCTGGAGGACCTGACCCAGAAATGGCTGAGAATTGGTTAGAAAATATAAGGAATATATTTGATGCCTTGGATTACACAGAGGAAAGACAAGTCACATTTGCGGTATTTCAATTTGAAGGAGCGGCCCGAGCTTGGTGGAATGTTATAAGAAACAAGTGGAAAAGGGATCAAATTTCAAGGACTTGGATAAATTTTGTACGAGAATTTAATGAGAAATTTCTCCCCCCGCTTGTCCAAGAAAAGAGAGAAGACGATTTTATAAAGTTTCGTCAAGGAACTTTAAGTGTGGCTGAGTACGAAACACGCTTCACGAAGTTATTTACATATGCTCCAGAATTGGTGGCTACTGAACAGAAGAGAATAAGACGGTTTATCTAGGGATTAGATTTAGAAATCCAAGATGCCCTTGCCGCAGCACAGATTGAAACATTTAGTGACGCTCTCGAGAAAGCGCAAAGGGTAAAGAGCGCAAAAGCCCAACTGAGGGCCTTTCAAGCGAAGAAAAAAAATACATCCGATAATAGACCCAGAGAAATTGGACCACCACCCAAAGTTAGAAAAGGAGAGGATGGGGTAAGACTATCACTCCCTGCACCACTCATGATAAAGGAATCAAAAGAAACTATGTCACGAGGAACTCCAGTCGGACAGATACGATAAAAGGAAACCTCACAAGCAAATCAAGTCACAATGTCTCGTCCGACCTGTGATATTGTGGAAGGACAAACCATACCGAAGAAAAATGTTGGCTAAAGGGACGAAAGTGTATGGGATGTGGGAGTACCAACCATAAAGTTCACGACTGTCCAAGGAGGTATCCCCTAGAGACTACCACTCAACAAGGAAATAGAACTAACTCTCGACAAGTTAATGGAAGAGAAAATCGACCAATGGCATCTGCAAGAACATATGACATGATCACACAACAAGGTTCAGAGTTATCTGAAATTACGGAAGGTAAGAATTTCGAGAACTAAATTCTTTTTAAGGAGGGAAGGTTGTGAGGACTTGCAAATTTACTTATTTTAAATTCCTATTTCTAGTTCATTTAAATATTTATATCGTCAATTGCTCCGCTTATTATTTTCTAACCTTTTTAGAGCTAATTACATTGATCTATGACTTACTTATATTTTTAGAGTGGCTCGTTTCAAAATTTAATTTTCGAAGGCTCGTTAAGTGAAAATAGTAAATACGTGATTGGGGTAAATAATGGAATCGAGGATACAATAAGTTTGGAAAATTGGAGACTTGTATATTAGTCTCAAAATAGATATTTTTATGTTTAAGTGCTCAAATATTAGTTAGTAATATTATCGTTATAAGAATTTCTTAGAGATTTTGCGTTATCACGTTTAAATTGGAAATACGCGTTTTCACACGCGCGATTTAATTGAGGGATTTTAGACCTTTATTTTGGGACAATTAAGAGTGAATAATATTTATATGAATGAAAGTGCATTAGTGTAACAAACTTAAGAAGAATCGAGCACAAAACGAGCGCATGCACGCACTTTTTGCGGTTGACTTTTGTGCACCAAATCCTTAGTCATTAAGCTTCCTTTGGAAGCCTCATTCCAGACCACAATCTCTCTCTCTTGCTCCCTCATCTGGCTGGCTAACAAAGAGAGAAAAACAACTCAAGAGCTCTTCAAAATTTCTTCATTTCCTTCACCAAATCTCCCTCCAATTCACCTCAAATTTCAACCGTACTTAACTAATCACTTGAAGAACACATCAAGCTAGGAAAGAGGGCTGCTATCCACGGTTTGCTTGAGCATCTAAGGGCCGAAATTTTTGTCTAGTTCATCAAGGGAGGTAATGGACGATCAACCTTGATAATCTTAAGTGATGGAAGTTCTATTGCACATCTAAGCTCAAACATGCTTGTGGGTAGTCTTGTTATGGTGGATTTTTATTGTGTGGGCCCTATGAACTCCCACTTTTGATAGAAGGACTGATTTGATGATTGATGATCAAATTAATGGTGGTTTAGTGCTTAAATTAGTGGATTAATGTTATATTGTTGGTAGAAAATCAAAGGAGGTGCTTGGAGCAAAAGTGACTGTTTTACCCCTGCCTTTTCTGACCACTTTTGTGCAAAATTTTGAGGTTCTAATGGCTTGTTTATGTTGTTTACATGTTATATTAGTTGTGTAAAAAGTTTCATTGAAAAATAACTTGATTTGGTCACCCAAATGTTGGATTTAGAATTAGAAATCTGGAAACTAATCCCGTATTCACCCAAGTAGTGTTTTTGTTTCGGCTATATCTTTTTACTCCGATGTCAGAATTGAGTACCGCTTGTGGCACTGGAAACTAGACATTCCCAGCTTTCTAAAGGTATAAAATTCATGTTCGGGTTCCATCTAAGTGAGGCAAACCATTCATTTGAATTTCACTGTCCTGTTTCATTGCTTCCTTGAAGACGGCACATGAGTTGCAAATTGATGCTCATGAATGAACTATTTATGGACAGATTTTGAAAATATTTTCTTCTGAGAAAATATAGTCTTTTGAGTCTAGTTTTCAACGCCACCAACCATGCTCAATTTCAAGTTGAATTGAGTGAGTTGTGGCCATATTTCGAAACTGATACAGTGAGTAAAAATCCTCTTTTGACTAGTTAAATGGCCAATCTTGACTTGGGACTTGTTATTCGAAATTCTTGATGTAAATCACCTACCAAATGTGGTTTGGATGTTTTTTAGACATTATCTACACAAATGAACCATATTTGAGAGGTTTTTAGTGGCCAAATGTTTGAGAAAAGGAAAACAAAGCTACGAGGCAAATTGCCATGGAAATTCTTGAAACTTCAACAGTTTTGTTAATTGACTTTCTGTGCGAGATTTTACATGAACATTTGGAGAGGAATAGCCCCTATATGGTAGTGTAATACTTCCAAATTTAGTGCCATTCCGAATCCATTTCAACGTTCAATCAACGTCCCAAAGTCAGTGATTTAAATCTGGAAAATAGGCCAATGATCTC